AAAGGGACTATTGCTATATTGGATAACACCTTGCTGTAACATTTCCAATACACGTTTCTCTATTATATCTTTCTTCATAGAGGAGTATCTATAGGGTCTGATGTTAATTGGTTTAGACCCTTCTTGTAGAGGAATTCTATGATCAAAAATACCCCTCTGAGGAGGCAAAGCTGTGGGTTCTCTAAAGAGTATTTGATACTGCTCAAGCAGGTTCTTAAGTGTATCTGGCATAGGCTCCTCTACAGGAAGATGAAGGGCATTAAGGTGGCGTTCACACTCCACCATAGTAGTAGGAGAAACCACGTGCAACATAAAGAATTGGACCTCTTCACTACTGCTCTTATTTATAGCCTTAGAGCTTAAAAGCTTGCAGTCTTCAGTGACTCCCTTTAACACATGGTGTTTACCCTTGTAGTTAAAGGACATGGTAAGATCAGTGTAATCCATAGTAACAGGACCCAGTGTTTTCATCCACAGGGCCCCCAAAACCAAATCATACTTCCCTACAAGAAAGATAATCAAATCTGATATATAGGTAGTTCCCTGTAGCATCCATTAGAAATCTCTCACTACACCAGAGGTAGCCTCCATAGTGTTGTTACCCAGACTGACATAACCCAGCTTAGTTGGGGAAATATGACACCCTAGCCTTTGTGCAAATTCAGCATCAATGAAATTATGGGTACTTCCACCATCTAGCAGTATCCGAATGGGTCTTTTAATGATATAGCCAATAACATGGAAAGTTTGAGCTCCCTTAAGACCACTTAGAGCACACAAGGAAATCAAGGGAGGATCTCCATCCGACACAGTCCATTCCTCAGTTGGTGATGTTCCCTCTGACTTAAAAAGATCCTCTTATATATCACCCTCAGGATATTCTAGGTCCAGGATGAACATTTTTTTAGGTAAGGAACACCTATGTCCAGGTGTATACTTATCATTACAGAAATAGCATAGCCCTTGAGTCCTTTTTGCCTGCATCTCAGCTGGTGAAATCATTCTTCTGTTTCTGGGAGTAGTAGTATTTGAAGGTGTCAAGGCTAACTTGTTGGGAGTTAAGGACTGTTGACTAGGAATTTTGGTAGGGTGCAGTTCATAAGGGGTTTTTTATTGGAAAAGGAGTGGGCAGGTGCAGAAAAATATTTCATGGTTCGAGCATTAGCTGCTAAAGTAGCTTCAGCTAATCTGGCTAATCGATAGGCTTTTGAGAGAGTTTTGGGATCATGCATCATAATTGGATTAACCAACTCCTGCTTCAGGCCACCTAAAAAATAGGATATAGCTTGTTCTACTGTTAAACTTCACTGTGAGACAAGCCTATCAAAGGCAAATTAAAATTCCCTTACGGAGCCAGTCTGTCTTAGTTGCTTTAACTCAAGCATGGGATCTGCAAACTCATCCCCAAATGTTTCAACCAACACAGCCAAGTACTCCTCCCATTCAAGTAACCCAGGTATACCTCTACACTTTAAAAAGGATTGATGCCAAGCCAAGGCCTCATCATCTAAGTTCATGGCTACTAGTCTCACTCGTTCATTAAGAGGAGTATTATCCATAGCAAAATACTGTTCAATTCGGTACAGCCAATTTTTTAAGTTCTCACCATTAAAACAAGGAAATACCAGATTATGATTGCGATTATTAGCAACACAGTAAGGATCTGGGCCTAAAATTTCCTAACCTGTCACAACAGTGTGAGCTCGATCTGTCGAAGTAGAACTGCCATCCTTCGTTTGCTGGTGCAATTGCATTCCATCAAGTGAATTTTTAATAGAACTGACCAATTGGACTAGCTCGATTTGCCTGCGATCCATGTCCTCTTTAAGCTCTTGATGCATCTGATCAATGCTAGCTCGCAGATCCAATTGCTGAGCTGCTAAATCCTCATATTGTTTCTGGAGATTAGCAGCTGGAACACCCTGAATTTCATTTATAGCTCGTCGAGGTCCCATCGTGATCGATTGGCTCTGATACCAATTGATACCAATAAGGTATCAACACTGCAATGGAGCAGTAAATTGAGAGGAAAGAGGAAGGGGAACAAGGAAGAGAGATGGAAAAGAGAGAAGAGAGAGAGTTCAGAAGAAGGAAAAGAAGAGAGAATCAGTATTATCTGCTAAAGTCTGACTTCCATCTATTACAATCCATTACTTATACAACTGGAATTTGAATATGAAATGAAAAGCATGCTGAAAATAGAGAAATGGAAATAACTACTTTTCCCGCCCAGCTAACTTTCAAATAATCCTACTCAGCTAACTTTCAAATAATCCTACTCAGCTTCCACGTTGGTTGTTGCTGAAATAATTCTCTTTTAGTTTTGAAGATACAAAATTTGTTTGCGACCCTCTATAAAATTCCCTCCCCACTGACGGTTTCTTCAAGCGGCGGTTACGCTTGGCGGGAATGGTGGTTGTCAATGGCGAAGGGCAAAGGAAATGGACCAGGACGACCAAGGAAGACACTGATACTAGTAATTGGAAGCTCACTAACAACAACTACATCTCCATTAGCTCAGCTCGTTTCTCAAAAAACACAGGCGGTGACACCAGTGGTAGATTCAGGGGTGGTTCAACAAAATGGAAGGATTGATAATGGTAATCTCACTAGCTCTACTAATTCTCAGACACAGTCAGTAAAATTGGACAGGATTGCTCAAGGATGACAGTGGAAAGACCAAAGTTCTGAGTGAATGTGTGGCTTCAACATCGAGTGTATTGACTATGGTACAAGCACAGCTAAATGCACATGCAGATGAAAATCTACAGAAATCGAAGGCTAACAAGGATCTAATTGCTCCGGAGTGGGTCAATCTGTTCGCTAAAAATCGGATAGCATCTAACGGCCTTGCTCTGTCTTACATAGCTCCGACGATTGTGGATGGGAGTGTGGTTATCCAACTAGATCCCGTGGAGACTGCGAAAGAGGTTGAGAAGTGGAAATATTCCCTGATTGTTGCAGTAATAGGAAAAATCCCAGGGTATAATCAGATGAAGAGATACATTAACCACAATTGTCAAAAGCCTTATGCTCTGAATTGTTTTGTCACGACAAGAGCTATTTCATTGCCAAATTCAAAGAGGAAGATGACCTCAAGGAAGTTCTGTATGGAGGGCCCTACATAATCAATAATATACATGTCATTCTGAAGAGATGGTCTCCTGACATAGAATTTGATACAGCTTTTCTTAAAGAGATACCCTTATGGGTCTCTTTCCCTAACTTGCCTATGGTTTATTGGGGAAAAGACTCCCTAAGCAGGCTGGGAACTTCTATTGGAGTGCCACTATTTGCTGATGAATGTACAGCTAATCAATCTAGAATTTCATTTGCTAGGATGCTGATTGAAGTGAACATCACTAAGCCATTACCAACTGAAGTCACAATACAGGATCCTTCTAGAAAAATGTACAATCAAGTGGTGAGGTTTGAATGGCAACCTAAATTCTGCTCAGATTGTCAACAACTGGGACATGTATGCAAACGTAATAAGGAAGTTCAAGGGAAGCCTCAGAAGATACAAAAAGTACATGGCAAATTTCACCAACCAGCAAAGGAGTGGAGAAGCAAAGGAAGTATGTCACAGAATATAGGTAAGCCTCAAGAGTCAATGCTTCTAAGCCAAATAGTATTGGAACACTACCTCCTAAAGTGCAAAATGTAGTCTCTACTGTAGTCCCTATGGCTGGGAAATCTGTGGAGAATACTCAGGGCATCACACAGGCTAAAAGGCAAGATAATAGTGTATTGAGAGAAAAGTCTAGTGTTTCAACTCGCAGAAAACCTGTAGTTGGTATGGATTTTTCAATTGTCACACAGAACGCATTTGGGGTTCTATCAGGAGGTCAAGGGGATAAGCAACCACCAGATAGAGGTGGTACAACAGATCCCTCCAAATGACTGTTCTCATGTGGAAAGTGAGGGGGCAAACCAAAGATACAAACAGAAGGAGTTGGCTAAATACTTCAAGGATAATCATATTTCTTTAGCCGGTTTAGTGGAGACTAGAATCAAATAACATAAGGCTTTTTTTATTTCCCCCAAGATTGCTCAAAATTGGGACTTAGTAGATAACTACAATCATGAGGTTAATGGAAGAATATGGCTATTAGTGAACAGAAATATATGGCAAGTGGATGGGATAAAAATAGATGCTCAATTTATACATTGTACCATTAGTAGCTCTACTGTCAGGTGTGCTATGACTGTGGTATATGGGTATAACAGCTTAGGGAAGAGAAAGGAGATGTGGCAGAAGCTTAAAAAACTTGCACAAACCGTTAACCAACCATGGTTACTGTGGGGGGGGTTTTAATGTTATTATCTCTACTCAAGATAGAGTATCAAAGATTGCACCAACACAAGTAGATGTTCAAGACTTTGCAAGCTTTTGTTCAGACACAATGATGGCTGAAATCCCTTAGAGAGGGGAATTCTTTACCTAGACAAATGGGCAAATGGGAGAAGATAGGGTAATTAGTAGGATAGATAGAGCATTGGGGAATGATGACTGGATGATGAACTTTGATCACTTAACAGTTGAAATAGGGGATCCATTTATATTAGATCACTCACTACTCACACTAAAATTTCAGAGCAGAAACAATAACAGAAGAGTGCCATTCAGATTTCTAAATGTTTGGGCAGAGCATGAAGACTTTCAGAGTATTGTTAATGAAGAATGGCAAGGAGAGCACCAGTCTTGCAAGCTAGCTACTATCTAGTACAGGCTGAAAGCAATGAAGCCTGTATTTAAGAACTTAAACAATAGAAATTTCAAGAATATAGCAGAGAAGATGGATCAAGCAAGAAGGGATCCGATTGAATGCCAACAAGAAATGAATAGAGGCTACTCAGATCAGCTAAGGATGATGGAGAAGGAGGCCAGATTTCGATTAGAAAAATGGTCAAACATTAAGGAGAAGATATTACAATAGAAATCAAGAGCTCACTGGATTAATGTTGGGGATGGAAACAACAAATACTTCTTTGCAATGATGAAAGACAGAGCAAGCAAGAAAAATATTACTACTCTAACAGCACTAAAAGGTGAGATTCTGATAGACTCTAAGAGTGTCAAGAGGGAGATTGTTGATTTCTATAAGTCCCTTGTGGGAACTGCAGATACAACTCTACCTGCAGTTAACATGCAAATTCTGAAAAATGGACCCCAACTGAAGCATCAACAAGCAGTGGAACTAGCCAAAGATATATCCAAACAAGAAGTAGATGAATGTATGCAGGCTATTGGTAATGACAAAGCTCCGGGCATTGATGGATATAATGTTGTCTTCTTCAAGAAAGCATGAGGGGTTATTAAAGATGATGTATATGAAGCAGTAGTGGAATTCTTTGCTACAGGTATGATGCCTAAGGCCATTAACTGTACTACAGTTACTCTATTGCCTAAGATCACCAATCCTACTAATATCAAGGACTACATACCTATATCTTGTTGTTCTGTGCTGTATAAGATCATCTCCAAAATCTTAGCATCAAGATTGCAGAAAGTAATGGGGTACTTAATTGATAGTGCTCAGGCTGGTTTCATCCTAGCAAGAAAATGAGCTAACAATATCATTTTAGCACATGAACTGATCAAGTCTTACTCAAGGAAACATATATCACCTAGATGTATGATCAAGGTAGATTTGCAAAAAAGCTTATGATAGTGTAGAATGGAATTATGTGCTACAGGTCATGGAAGGTCTGGGTTTTCCTCATAACTTCGATCAGTGGGTGTCATCCTGTATTCATAGTGTGAGTTACTCTATCTTGATAAAATGGTGAGTTAGCTGAGCCTTTTCCTGCTACTAAAGGCCTCAGATAGGGTGATCCAATGTCCCCATTCCTGTTTGCCTTAGCAATGGAATACCTAAGTAGGCTTCTCACTGATTTGAAGAATAATAAGCAATTTCATTTTCATCCAAAGTGCAAGAAATTAGGCATTACTCATTTGAGTTTTGCGGATGACCTATTACTGTTTGCTAGGGGGATAATCAATCTGTGGCAATGTTAAAGCACTGTTTTGATCAGTTCTCTACAGCATCTGGGTTAAAAGTTAATCTAAACAAAAGTTCAGTCTATTTTAGTGGAGTGTGCAATATGGAACAAGAACTTATACTTCAGCAACTGGGGTATGTACAAGGTGAACTACCATTTAGGTATTTGGGCGTCCCTCTTACTACCAAAAAGATGAGAGTGAAACAATGGCAGCCATTGATTGACAAGATAGTAGCTAAAATTTCATCCTGGACTGCAAGGAAGTTGTCATATGCTGGTAGAGTTCAACTTATTAGAACTGTAGTGTTTGGAGTGCAATTTTACTGGTCTCAAATATTCTTGTTACCCTCCAAGGTGATCAAGCTCATTGAAGTATATTGCAGAAGCTTCATGTGGTCATGAAATAATGTCATTACCAAGCGAGCATTAATATCCTGGGAAAGTGTCTATCAACCCAAGAGTGCTGGAGGGCTAAACATCCTGAACCTCAAAAGATGGAACAAAGCAGCCATTCTCAAAATGCAATGGGATCTAGCAACAAAGGCAGACAGACTATGGTTCAAATGGGTCCATATGTACTATATAAAAGGGCACCCTTTAGCTAATATCAATGTGCCTAAGCAAGCGAGTTGGATGGTTCAAAAGATCATGACTGTTGCCGGCCCAAAGCCACAGCTGCAGGGAGATAAAAGTAAATGCAGTGTGATCAAACAGTTGTACTTGCAACAACTGGGATCATTAGCTAAAGTCGAGTGGAAAGCTACCATGTTCAAGAATCTAGCTAGACCTAAAGTAATGTTTGCTATGTGGCTGATCATACAAGAAAGAATGATGACAATTGACAGGCTGATCAAGCGGAACATAAATGTGGATCCAATATGTATTTTTTGTGGAATTCATCCAGAGACTCATGCCCATCTATTCTGCGAATGTACTGTCACTACTGGATTATGGGCAGAAATTTTCAATTGGTTACATATCCAGATGCAAATAAAGACATGGGATCACCTAGTATCCTGGTTTGTGGAGAAAACAAAGAAGAAATTTGTTGAAGGGCAGCTATTGCGACTGGTGTTAGCTGAAACTCTGTATAGTATATGGACAAAAAGAAACCATAGAATATTTGATAAGGTAAATAGAGATAGTAAGAGTATCATTAGAGAGATAGCATACATTTGTAATATACAGGCTGTAGGCAAGCTTAAAGAAGTTCAGCAGCACAAGCTTCTGTAGGGGTATAAGAGCAAATGTGTAGAGACAAGGTAAAATAGTTTGTTGAGGATAGGAGTCAAGATAGAGTTGTGTATAGGCCGAGATGGCCACTATATGATGTAATTTGCTTCTTTGGTGATTAATGATATTGTGATACAAAAAAAAATGAAGAAAACGTATTTTCTTTCGTTTTAACAAACTAAGTATTTTCTTTTCCCAATGTAGAAAAAATATTTTCGTTAATTTTAACAAAACGAGTACTTTCTTTTCATGAAGTAGAATAAATATTTTCTTTCATTTCAACAAAACAAATACTCTCTTTTCATGATGTAGAAAATGTATTTTCTTTTCATGATGTAGAAAAAGTATTTTCTTTCATTCAACAAAATGAGTAATTTCTTTTCATGTTGTAGAAAAAGATACTTTCTTTTTTTAAAAAAATAAAGTATTTTTTTTTGTTTATCAAGCTCAAATTTCAACTTTGTTCCTGTATGAAAAAGTAAAGTAGCACATTAGTTCCTTTGGGTTTGTGTGAATTTTGAAATGAATAATTAAATTCTTGAAGAACATAGACCCCTAGAGGGGGGAGGGGAGGAAGGAGTACAGAAATATGAGGATTTTGGGAAAGGCGGCTTGAGGAGAGTAGCATAAGAAATTATTTTCCTAAAAATATTTTATATTCTCTAACCAAATACTAGAAAATATTTTCCGGAATTGTTTTTTCATTCACCAACCAAACAGAAATAAGTGATAAAACCACTCATTTTCCAGAAAAATATTTTTCATCAAAAACATTTTTCTACGTACCAAACACACCCATAATGTATAGGTATTCCACTCGAAAAATAATTGTAAACTCATACTAGCTTCAGAAGCACTATTTGTCTATTTCTGTAAATCTTTATTTTTCCTTTTGTTTTTCTTTAGTCTTTTGAAGATTCTAAAGAAAAACCAAATGTGAACTACTTTTTGAGGAAAATGGCCAAGTGTAGAAGAAGGATTTTTTTTTTTTCGAAGTGGAATATTCATTTTACTGGTTATAAAAAGGGACCAATAAGAGCTATTCGAATCTTCCTATCTCAAATTCCCTTTTAGCTATTCTCCTCTCTCTCTCTCTTTCAACTCAAAGTATTTTTTTTTTTTTAGAAAAAAGGAAACTTGTTGACTAGCTCATCATCAACCAAACTCCCTTTTGTCTGTCACGCAAAAGCAGAAAGAGTTAGTGAATTTAAGTCCAAATAATTAAGAGTTACTAGAAGCTTGACAAAGGAGCTGATATTCAGAATTTCATGTTATGGGAAATAACAATAATCACCAATATTATCCTCAACTTCTGCTTCCTCGCCAATGTTAAAGCCTTCAAGATTCAAGCGCATATGTGTTTTCTGTGGCAGCAGCCCTGGCAATAAACCTACTTACCAACTTGCTGCTATCCAACTTGGCAACCAATTGGTATTATCACTTCTCACTCAATCCTTTTTTCTTTTTGTTACGCTTTTAAAGGTGACGTGATGGTGTAAAATATTCTTTACATCGGCTGTATTTATATACTCCTTCCGTTCTAATTTATGTGAACCTGTTTGACTCGACACGAAGTTTAAAAAAAAATAAAGACTTTTGGAATTTGTGGTTCTAAACAAATCAAAAGGGGGTCCAGAATATTTATGTGGTTATAAAAGCTTCTAATTAAGGGTCGAATTGTAAGTTTAAATTAAATTGTTTCCAAATTTAGAAAGAGGACATTCATTTTGAACGGACCAAAAAGGAAATAACTGAAACAGAGGGAGTAAATATTTTCATGAGAAAAGAATATTTTATAATGGAACAATAGAGACGTGCTTTGTTATTTGTGTAGTAAGCATGGAAGAAACTAGATTTCCAAGTTGCGTACGTACTGTACATGTTTTATGTGCTGTACCATTGAGTATGAAGATATTCGAGGTAATACAGAAAAACATAATCCAACACAAAAAGACCAGAAAACAAAGGCGGATCCAGATATTTAAGTTTATGAATTCTTACAATGTCCTCGAATTATATACATGATCACTGAACAAACAGACTGTATCTCAAGTTAAATATTTTTATACTTAATAAAAATATATGGTCTACGCAAAAGTTATTGGATTCATGTGAACCGTAATCTTTGCCCAAGATCCGCCCTTGCCAGTAAATATGTTTTAGATCAAGATTTGGGATCACAAATAGAGCCATTCCATTTTTTTCTTTCTTTATCTTTTTTTTTATTGGATTAAGTACGGTGGATAAATTATATAGGTGTTAAAAAATTATGACAATTAGTTTAAATGAGATTTTGATTACTTTACTCTTATTCCTGTCTTAATATTTAATCTTTCTTCATTGATATTTGAACAAAGTTATCCATAATTAAGGTATTTGTAGTATTCAAGAATAATTATTACTCCCTCCGTTCCAATTTATGTGAACTTGTTTGATTGGGCACGGAGTTTAAGAAAGGCATTTGAAATTTGTGGTCCTAAACAAGTCAAAAAGGGGTCCAGAGTATTTGTGTGGTTATAAAAGCTTCTCATTAAGAGCAGAATCGAAAGTTTAAGCTAAATTATTTCCAAATTTAGAAATGGGTCATTCTTTTTGGAGGGGACCAAAAAGGAAATACATTCACATAAACTGGAACGGAGGGAGTACTAGGGGTAAAAAAGAAAAAAAATTAATTTTATCTTGAACTTCTAAAATGACAAATAGTTTGAGATAACTATTTTTAATAACCACGACGGATAATATGAGACGAGGGAGTAGCGTAACATATTTGATCATTGTTTTATTTTTGTAATTATTTTCTAATCCAGATCCATAAAGTATAAAGTGGAAGCAAAGTGGAACATTTTTGTGCGGATTTAAGTATATGTACAATACAATATCAGATTATATGTACAATAATTTAAAAATTATTTACATTACCAGTATAGTTTAATCTGGATATATTATGTCAGTTTCAATTGTCATCAGGCTAAAAATAATGCTTATTGTAAAAATTATTTGTGATTATCTTATAAATAATTTAAATGTATAGTTTTTTATACTATACTTTTTTTTAATAGCGTTACCTGGCAAAGCTATGAATGCATCAGCTTGCCTAGCCATTTCAGCCTTTCTTTGGTGCATACCAGATACAACCCTCACTTCTCCAATTTTCTCTCCAGTAATCTGTAGAAAATGATGGTGTTAAACACACTTAGAAAAATCGAGTATGAGTAGTTAATAATAAAGGTAACAATAAAAGAAAATAATATTCTTTTCATTTGCTAAAGTACACGAGTAAAAAATATATATTTTAGTGTACTGAACTAGTAAGAGAGAATGGAGGAAATGTTTGATAAATAAAATATATGCATATATAGAGAAAGATATTTTTAAATAAGAATTCTCTGATCATAATTACAATTTACAAAAGCAGTACCTCTCTGGGCATGAGACTTCTAGGAATCACACTGCCAAGAGGAAAAAAAAGACAGCAATATTAGCACTGAAAACACTTGCCTAAAAAAATGTATAATATACAATAAAGACTATGGAAGATTAAAAAAAAACATATATATATATATATATATATTAATTGGTTACTTTNNNNATATAGCGGAAATTTGGTACCCTACCATTAAAATCAGTTTTAGAAATCAAACCCATCAAGCCAACACTCCCACCTCCATACACCAAGTCAATGTTCCTTTCAACCTGTCATTTTATTTCAGGAATAGAAAAAATTTACAGTGATTAATTAACTTCTTCAAGGAGACAACACCAACGTTGACAACTGTGGGACTACTCCAAAACTGCCTTGTCAGTTACAGTGATTAATTAACTTCTTCAAGTTAAAAGTTTGCTAATTGGGGAACAACTAATTAATGCTAATCTCCTAATTTCTTTTTGTGGTTGCAGGTGGCTATGGAACATTGGAGGAACTCTTAGAGGTCATCACTTGGTCACAGTTGGGCATTCATGATAAGCCAGTACTATCTTAATCATACACTTATCCTTTTCTTTTTTTTCAATTGATAATAATGTGACATTAAAACCGTGCAACTTATATAATTTATAGTCGTATTAATATTTATGACTTATGTTAGATCATAAAGTCTTTTTTTTTTTAATACTGTGCTAGTCGAACTTGATTTTTAATATGCCACAATAAAAGTTGAAGCTAACTGCTCCTAAAAGGAGTATTAATCTGAGCAAAATGCAAATTTAGAATTTAGAGTCAAACTTCTAAAAGGAGTATTAATCGATCTAAAACGAGTGTAATTAGTATTATTACACGTAACTCTTTTTTGTTGTGATATATACATAGGAAGCAAAAAGCACTGTCATGTTCAATTAGATTCTAGGGGTGATAATTTGACCCTAAACTCATTTAATTCGTTTAACCTCGCTCAAGGTTGGGCAGGTTATTACCCGTCCATTTGTCGAACTCATTCCATTTAAAATTGGTTGGTGTTTAGCTCGAATTGACCCATGAGTAATTTTACTAAAATATCTGTAAAATAATTCTTTTATTATTTGATGTTATATATGATTATAACAAAAGAAAAAAAGTCTTATTTGATAATTAAACAATTCATAAGAAAATAACACACATTAATTATATCTTGATAAGGGTTGTGTGAGTTGGGCTATGACTCAAATATTAACTCATCTTGACACAACCCATCTCAGTAACTTTTGAGTGGGTCAATAACAAGCTCATTTATTAACTTAACCCATCTTGACCGGCCAAAATCAGTCCAACCCGCCCATTTAATATCATTAACTGCACGCTAATGGGAAGTTATTGGTTGTACTACGTGCAGGTAGGTCTGCTAAATGTGGAAGGCTACTACAACTCACTCTTGTGTTTCATAGACAAAGCAGTTGAAGAAGGTTTCATCACGCCCTCTGCCCATCACATTATTGTTTCTGCCCCCACTGCTCATGAACTCATGTCCAAACTTGAGGTATTTCACCTTCCTCGTCGTCATAACGTAGTCAGCAATAAATTCAGCATTTTAGCTCTATGAATTTAATATTTATGGATTTTAATTAAACTTATTATATTTTTAAAATTATAAGTTTATATCTATTATTTATTATAATTTAATAAATTTTTATATATAAATTTATATTATACATTTAACCCATGAAAAATATCGAATTTAAATGAACCCGCTATCCGAAACCTCCATCTGGCCCTATGAGTACATCAGTTGCTCATCAATAATTACACACACTGGGTCTGGGACACATGCCCCACTTTTTATTAACAGATTAGCAAGATAGAGGTGAGAGTTGGACATGTGTCTGAAGTCTGAACCCAAGAATCTGTCACATCACATGTATATATGTTTTGACTCAGTGGAATGACAACGATTGTGATTTATGAATAGGCTAAGGTCTTATTTCTTCACCCTTTTACTTGTCGACATGAAGGCGAATGTTTCGTGTGCATGAATTTTCAAATACACTATAAAAGAAAAACTAAAAAAAGAACTACACGTATTGATTTATGATTATATTAACCTTGTATATTTGTAACCGAGTTCACGTAATATATTAATAACTAAAAAGAAGTTTAAAATTTGTATACATATAGCATTGCTTTGTTAACATGTTGGATGAATTAATTATATATGTAGGATTATGTTCCAAAGCATAATGGAGTTGCACCAAAACAGGGTTGGGAGATGGAGCAACAACTTGGCTACACAACAGCAATAAAGGGCGAAATTGCTCGTTGACGCTTAATTTGTCACTTTCTTATTATTGAATTTGCCCATTAGGGCTTACCAAAAAACCTGATTAAACTGCAGTAAGTTGATTGTTTACAAGTAATATTTGTGTCTGTACCTGAATGTCGTCCAATTAAATTATTCCATTAAGCATCTAGAACTGATGTACTTTGTATAATGTGTATAAAGTGTGCTCCTTTCTTATTTAATAAAATTTTGGAGGAAAGCAAGGTTACTCCCATTAATTACTCCCATTATAAATGTTTTCTTAAATAGTATCTTGGTCGAAAGACATGCCGAGGCTAAAAGCACCGCAAAATGGCTAGAAAGGGAAAGAAAATGTAAGAGGAAATGTAACGACCTGATCGTTCGTTCTGAGAGTTATAATCATATTTTTCCCATCTATGTTTATTTATAAGTTGTTCAGTTGTGTTGAGTTGTATCGAGTTGGTAGGTTTGGGTTCGGAGTAATTTTGGAGTGAAATGAACACTTAGTCTCTTAATTAGAAAGCTAAGTTAGAAAAGTCAACCGGAAGTTGACTTATGAGTAAAAGAATTCGGATTTGGATTTTTATGATTCGATTAGCTTCGTTGGGTGATTTTAGACTTAGGAGTGTGTCCGGAAAATAATTTGGAGGCCCGTGGTAGAATTAAGCTTGAATTGGCAAAAGTTGGAAGTTTAGAATTTCTTAGGCTTGAATTCGAGGTTGATTTGGTATTTTGGTGTTGTTTTGGGTGTTTCGGAGGTTTGACTAAGTTCGGGTAGTGATATATGACTTGTTGGAATTGTTGGTTAAGGTCCCGAGGGCCTCGGGTGAGTTTCGGATAGGTTTGGGTTGTGTTGCGCTCATTTTTCTTATGTTTCTACGTCGTTTCTTCAAGCCTAAATGATATCATATTGAACAAATGAGCTCCGATTTCTTTTTTGATTGAATAATTAGATTCGTATTGTAATTACAGACTTGTAGCAAAAAGAATCGTCGAATTTGGACATCGTATGAGGATTTTATGGTCATTTTACTAAAATTTAGGTTGCCGGATTTTTCAGGTTAATTACCGAATTGCCACTAGCAGCGTAATTAAAAATCTGCACTATTTGCAAATATTAAAACCTACATATCTCATTCGTTATAAGATCAAATTGAGTAATTCAAAAGCCTAACTTGACTAGAATTTCACAAGGAATCCATTGGAGGCATAAAATACGAGTTTCGGGATCGTTTGGCTCGAGAAACGAGGCAGAATAGCTGGTAGAAAAATATACAAAACTAGGGTTTGTTCATTCGGTCATATTTTGAGTTGGGAAGCTCGGATTTGGGCGATTTTGGAGGCGATTTTCACCATATGGATTGGGGTAAGTGTTCTCTACTCGATTTTGATTATAATTTATGAATCCATCTTCGTTTTTGGGATTTGATTGATGATTTCAAAGTGAAATTGAGGGAGTTAGGGTTTGAGTTTTGGAGAGTTTTAAGTGAGGATTTGAGGGACCAAACGGAGTCCGATTTTGACAAATTTTATATGTGTAGACTCGGGAGAGGACGAGGATTATTATTCTGCCATTTTTGACTGATTCCGAGACGTGGGCCCGGGGGCGAGTTTTGGCCGATTTCGGATTTTTGGCATGTTTATGTAGTTTTTATTGTGGAATTCGATTCTTTAGACTATGTTGATAGTATTATTCTGATTTTGGTTAGACTCGGAGCTTTTGGAGACCGAGTCCAGGGACGAGGACATCCCGGAGTAGAATTTTACTCTGTTGAGGCAAGTAACAGTTTTAACTCTGGCTTTGAGGGTATAAACCCGGAGAAATTGATATCATGTGATTGTTTGGTGGTGATACCCACGCTAGGTGACGGGCGTGTGGGTGTGCACCGCGAGAGATTGAGACTTGGTCCGTCCCGTGAGGCCTAATGCCTATTATATGTGGTTATGTGTTTACTTATTGTTGAACTTGTTTGCCTTCATGTTAGAGATCCTATTTAGGTTTTATTCATGCTCACATTATTTGTACTCAGTCATAGAAATTATTGTACATGTTTACCTCCGCCTCTATTATTTGATAATATGTTGTGATACTTGATGTGGGCTGTGTCCCCTTATTTGTTAATGATGGTGAGGCTAGTGAGGTACATGATTGAGTGAGGCCGAGGGCCTGGTTTTGAGGATATTAATACCATAGCGCGTGAGTTGTCCGCGTAGCACGTGAGTTGACCGTGCGGGTCCAGGTATTGATACCATAGCGCGTGAGTTGTCCGCGTAGCACGTGAGTTGACCGTGCGGATCCAGGTATTGATATGATGGCACGTGAGTTGTCCGTGCTTAGCGCTTGGGCTTTGGGAGCCCCTCCGGAGTCTGTACACACCCCTAGTGAGCGCAGAGTGTTGAGTGTATTGAGTGTTGAGTATTGAGTGCTGAGTGCGAGTGCTGAGTGATGGAGTGACATTGTTGTGAGGTTGCATTTACTTTTGCTGTTGCTGCATTTATCTGTTAAATTTCTTTGTGGCATTTACTGAGTTATGAAAGTTACCTGTTTATTCTTGTTATTTTTAAAATTGTGAAAAATAAATAATTGGACTATTTTGCTCAGCTCGTCACTACAGCTCAGTTCCTTAGTTATTTTTGTTACTACTGAGGTGGTTGTACTCATACTACACCCTACACTTTATGTGCAGATCCAGGTGAGTTAGAGCGCGGCGATCGTTGAGTTCAGGCCGACTTTAATTGGAGACTGCAAGGTAGCTGCCAGCGTCCGCAGGACCTTGTTACTCCTTTCATCATTTCTTTTTTGGACAGTTAGACGGTTTATATATCTCAGTTCATAGTTTTAGACGCTCATGACTTAGTGACACCCCGATGTTTGGGACTCGTTTCCGTATTTTATATTATTTATATTTAGAGTTGGTTTAGTTTATCAGGAATTAAATTATTGAAAATGTTTTATTAAATTCTTATAATCAAATTAGTAGTAATATTTTGGAAATAGGCTTGCCTTATAACACGATAGGCGCCATCACGACCATAGTTAGATTTTGGATCGTGACAGGAAACATATTCCATCGTAAAATGATGCACAGCAATCTGTATCTTGATCAGCTAGAATTGAAGATAGATTATTAATCAAAGAAGTTTATTTGGTTAATTAATTAAAGAAGTTAATTAGTGCAGGATGTGGATAAAGATCTACTATATATTAATAAGGTGTAAGGTGCAAACTTTGAGCAAAAGAAACACGTTTCCCTTGTGATGCATGAGCAACTAGCAATGGTATTAAGTCATGAATCACGAAAAACTTTATTTGCAGAGTACTAATACTAATAAATTAATATAAAGTTACCGCTTCATTTTATAAAGTTATTCTATTTGAAACTCTTTATTTTCCATGCCGCTGATTTCATGCTCTTACAAATGTTATGATATCTTTAATACCATAAGTTCTCAAAATACTTTAATTTTACTATGCACCAAAGTATAATTTTTTTTTTTTTTATGTATTGTTCCCGGTCAAATAACCTTATATAAAACAAGGTGATGGAGTTTTAATAGGAAGCATGGAGAGATTGTTTAATAGTGGAAACTACTCGTGGAAAAGTTTAAATTTGAAAATTTGTATTTATATGAAAGGATTCACCCAATTGTCACACCTCCTTTTTTTACACACCTACCCCGAAGGATAAATGTATAAGGGAGTTTTTCCATTTAAAGTGACATTATTCGAAACGGGATCATTTATTTATTTTTAGAGTCGCCACTTGGGATAGGATTAGCTTTTGGTGTCCCAAGTCACCGATTTAATTTAAATCCCAAATCGAGGAAAATTTCGACTTCCCAATTGGAGTCTGCGAACCAGAAATTCTGTGTAAGGAATTCTGTTGACCCGAGGGAAGGTGTTAGGCACCCCCGGATCCCGTGGTTCTAGCACGGTCGCTTAAATTATTATAAATGGCTAAAAATCTGGTTTTATGCATGTTCAAACCTATAGTGCAATTTTATAAATTTGTTTAACCGCTTTTAATTGGTTTTTATGAAAGTGAACGCCGTTTAAGAGCGTGTTTTTGGATCACGTCACATGAAATGCACCCGGATCCTCGACACCTCTTATTCAACGTTTTGGGATTTGGATTTGAGTTGCATGAAATGCACACCCGAGTTTAGGAAAGTAATATTATTAAAAGCGCGCCTAAAGTGGCTAGCGTCTTATTAACTTTGCGGGAAGCCATGGAAATTTGCTAAATGGTTTACCCGATTTCTAAAATATTTTAACATAACAATTAATGAGGGCCCCGCAACTTACATGTTTTGTGCGACGAGGCTCGTCTCATGTTTTATTTAAAGGCCATCCTAAAAGAAACTATAATTTTCTGTTACAGATTGTCTCTAAAAGGCCTAATTAATTAGTACTATAAATTAATTATCATTGAATGGTATTCGAGAAAGTCGGGCATCAAGATCAAGTCCAAATTCAAACAAGAGCATCTCCATTATTGAAGATTCCCTTAATTTAAATTTGCTACTTATCTTAGATGGCCCAAGCTCTTACTGCCAAAATTAAACCAATGATTTCAAAATAAGAATTCAAGCCTTTAAACTTTGGGCCTCGAAGCCGGCCAAGAGTGAGGAACTGGTCAGTTCTTACGAGAGGCTGTTCGGTGGGCCTCGATATAAGCCCAACTAGGATGATAAGCTAGACTAACAAAGGGAGGTTTAGATTCATTTCAATTCAACAATTGCCAATTAAAATCCACATTTTTCTATTCTGATGATATCTAAACTAATGGAATTCTACAAACATTTGGGGAATCGATTAAACTAGGGTAATCAAACCTATACTGAAACATCAAATACGAACGAAAAAACTTACTATACTGAAGTGTTACTTTAAACAAAATGCTTAGATCAGAACTGAACTATAAAGCTTGTCAGACTTAAGCCAAACATTCCTGCTGAAATCTAAACTCAAACTTAACAATTTATTTGACATTGGTGTGAGTATATATGCTCATTCTAAAGTTATTTCCATAATAGTATCTAAACCTGTGTGATATATCTCTGCAGCATTCAATTAACATGAGTCTAAACATAACTCCAATTCGAAAATCCATGACAAAACTCATATCATTCTGAAACTGTCCAAACAGTCCAAAAGTTCAATTAATTACAGCACGAGAACCTAATTACTTAACTAGGCTACACTACGAATGAATGCAGAAAAAAAAACAAAACAA